CCAAAAATCTCCCAACAAACAAAAGCCCAGGGCCAGATGGCTTCCCAGGGGAATTCTACCAAACATTTCAAGAATTAATACCTATTCTTCTGAAACTGTTCCAAAAAATAGAAATGGAAGGAAAACTTCCAAAGTCATTTTATGAGGCCACCATTACCTTGATCCCCAAACCAAAGACCCCCTCAAAAAGGAGAATTACAGACCAATATCCTTGATGAACATGGATGCAAAAATTCTCACCAAAATACTAGCCAATAGGATCCAACAGGACATTAAAAAGATTATTCACCATGACCAAGTGGGATTTATTCCTGGGCTGCAAGGTTGGTTCAACATCTGCAAATCAATCAGTGTGATACAATACATTAGTAAGAGAAAGAACAAGAACCATATGATCCTCTCAATAGATGCAGAAAAAGCATTTGACAAAGTACAGCATCCTTTCTTGATCAAAACGCTTCAGAGTATAGGGATAGAGGGTACATACCTCAATATCATAAAAGCCATCTATGAAAAACCCACAGCGAATATCATTCTCAATGGGGAGAAAATGAGAGCTTTCCCCCTAAGGTCAGGAACACGGCAGGGATGTCCATTATCACCACTGCTATTCAACATAGTACTAGAAGTCCTAGCCACAGCAGTCAGACAACAAAAAGAAATAAAAGGCATCCAAATCAGCAAAGAAGAAGTCAAACTCTCACTCTTTGCAGATGATATGATACTTTATGTGGAAAACCCAAAAGCCTCCATCCCAAAACTGCTAGAACTCATACAGGAATTCAGTAAAGTGGCAGGATATAAAATCAATGCACAGAAATCAGTGGCATTCCTATATAACAACAAGACAGAAGAAAGAGAAATTAAGGAGTCGATCCCATTTACAATTGCACCCAAAACCGTAAGATACCTAGGAATAAATCTAACCAAAGAGGCAAAGAATCTGTACTCAGAAAACTATAAAATACTCATGAAAGAAATTGAGGAAGACACAACGAAATGGAAAAACGTTCCATGCTCATGGATTGGAACTACAAATACTGTGAAGATGTCAATGCTACCTAGAGCAATCTACACATTCAATGCAATCCCCATCAAAATACCATCCACTTTTTTCAAAGAAATGGAACAAATAATCCTAAAATTTGTATGGAACCAGAAAAGACCCCGAATAGCCAGGGGAATGTTGAAAAAGAAAAGGAAAGCTGGCAGCATCAGAATTCTGGACTTCAAGCTCTATTACAAAGCTGTCATCATCAAGACAGTATGGTACTGGCACAAAAACAGACACATAGATCAATGGAACAGACTAGAGAGCCCAGAAATGGACCCTCAACTCTATGGTCAACTAATCTTTGACAAAGCAGGTAAGAATGTCCAATGGAAAAAAGACAGTCTCTTCAACAAATGGTGTTGGGAAAATGGGACAGCCACATGCAGAAGAATGAAACAGGACCATTTCCTTACACCACACACAAAAATAGACTCAAAATGGTTGAAAGACCTCAATGTGAGACAGGAGTCCATCAAAATCCTAAAGGAGAACACAGGCAGCAACCTCTTCGACCTCAGCTGCAGCACCTTCTTCCTAGAAACATCGCCAAAGGCAAGGGAAGCAAGGGCAAAAGTGAACTATCGGGGCTTCATCAAGATAAAAAGCTTTTGCACAGCAAAAGAAACAGTCAACAAAACCAAAAGACAACCGACAGAATGGGAGAAGATATTTGCAAATGACATATCAGATAAAGGGCTAGTATCCAAAATCTATAAAGAACTTCTTAAACTCAACACCCAAAGAACAAATGATCCAATCAAGAAATGGGAAGAAGACATGAACAGACATTTTTCCAAAGAAGACATCCAAATAGCCAACAGACACATGAAAAAGTGCTCAACATCGCTCGGCATCAGGGAAATCCAAATCAAAACCTCAATGAGATAACACCTCACACCAGTCAGAATGGCTAAAATTAACAAGTCAGGAAACAACAGATGTTGGCGGGGATGTGGAGAAAGGGGAACGCTCCTACACTGTTGGTGGGAATGCAAGCTGGTTCAGCCACTCTGGAAAACAGTATGGAGGTTCCTCAAAAAGTTGAAAATAGAGCTACCATACGACCCAGCAATTGCACTACTGAGTATTTACCCCAAAGATACAAATGAAGGGATCCAAAGGGATACATGCACCCTGATGTTTTTAGCAGCAATGTCCACAATACCCAAACTGTGGAAAGAGCCAAGATGTCCATCGACAGATGAATGGATAAAGATGTGGTATATATATACAATAGAATATTATGCAGCCACCAAAAGGAATGAAATCTTGCCATTTGCAACGACGTGGATGGAACTGGAGGGTGTTATGCTGAGCGAAGTAAGTCAATCAGAGAAAGACATGTATCATATGACCTCACTGATATGAGGAATTCTTAATCTCAGGAAACAAACTGAGGGTTGCTGGAGTGGTGAAGGGCGGGAGGGATGGGGTGGCTGGGTGATAGACATTGGGGAGGGTATGTGCTATGGTGAGTGCTGTGAATTGTGCAAGACTGTTGAATCACAGGTCTGTACCTCTGAAACAAATAATACATTATATGTTAAAAAAAAAAAAAAAGAAGATAGCAGGTGGGGAAGAATGAAGCAGGTATTTGGAGGGAGAGACAAACCATGAGAGACAATGGACTCTGAAAAACAAACTGGGGGTTCTAGAGGGGAGGCGGGTGGGAGGACTGTTGGCCTGGTGATGGGTATTAAAGAGGGCACGTTCTGCATGGAGCACTGGGTGTTATATGCAAACAATGAATCATGGAACACTACATCAAAAACTAATGATGTAATGTATGGTGATTAACATAACATAATAATAAAAAAAAAGAAAGAAAGAAAAAAAATATATACCTAAGAAAAAAAATATATACCTCAAAAAAAAAAAAAAAAAAAGCATTAGGCACTGGAAACCAGCAGGTGCTCAAGAAGTGGTGATTGTTACTTTACCATTATTTTCTCTCCTATGTTGCTTGTCCAGAACATTCCAGGTGGGCAACCTCCTCTCCTCTCTCTATAACTGGCACTCCTGCTTGACAAGCCCAGGCACAGAATCACCTTGCCTAACACAGTACCTAACATGATCCACAAACTCAATTAAATGTTTGTGATAACGACCATGGCATGAGAAATATTTGCAGAGTGTCCAAGAAACCTTCAGAGAATTAAAGCAGAAAGTAAATTGTTCAGTTCTTTCCTTGCCTCTCTACAAAGACACCCAAGCTGGCTACTGTTCCAGAATAACTGGAGGGCTGAAAATAGCCTCCTTTTTCCATTACTAAAGAGCAAGATGACCTTTCTTAAAATTCACCCAGGCATTACTCATTGAACATTTTCTATTATACTTATCACTACCCTTTATAATGAAAATATCACTTTGAGAAAATCAGACTTAATAAGATGATTCCAAGTTTTATTGAATATGCTTTACAAATGGGCATTTTGATTGACATATCCAGGCTTACTACAAATCAAAAAACAAAACTTAATTTTAAAACCTAAAGCAATCTTCTTGTTTCTAAAACCTTATAGAACAGCCTAAAGTTTCTTTCTTCCAGTACTTCCTTTTTTTTTTCTTTAAGCAAGGAGAGAATTATCCATGCAATCACAGGTGAGAGCAGAAGACATCAATGTCAATTTTGTTTAGTTTAACTTCCAACACTTCTTGACTTTAATGAAGTCAATGAAGCCTGGTTCAGGCTACCTTCTCTTCAGAAAGAACCTAAGATACTGTTGTTTTTTGTTTGTTTGTTTGTTTGTTTGTTTCCCCAGATCCTCCCATTACAAAGCTCCACCTTGACCACCACAATGAGGATAAGTGGAAAATACATCAGACTTAATGCCAGAAAATATGTTCAAATCAAGACAGTGATACTTCCTAGCTATGTATTAGAGCAAATCAACATGTCTCTATCCTCATCTGCAAAATGAGGATAACAGCATTTACCTCGCAGGATTGTTTTGAAAACTAAAAGAGAAAATATGTAGGTGTAATTTATAAATTATAAAGCACCATTAAAATGTAAGGTAGCATTATTATTCATGTATGAAGATGGTTCATTCATTTTTCAATGAATATTTATGTGGCAGACTTTTTGCTAAGCATTAATGATACAAATAAATTATATATATATATATATATAACTCATTGGCACTTGAGCTCTTATAGTCCAGTAGGGAAGAAGCATGTGAAGGTGGAGAGAAGCATGCTTTGATGTGGCTATAGGTGCTAGGGAGCCAGAGAGAACACTTGGACTGGGGTGTGGAAAGTGAGGGTGTTCAGGGGACTTCTTGGAGAGGTGACACTGGAATTGTTTCACTACAAATTCAAAAGCAAGAAAACAAATCCAAGTCACTCCTCTGTGAGGTGGTCCACATAATCCATGGTCCTGGGGCCCAAGTCATTTCAAAGGTGTCCTGATCCCTTAAGGAGAGTTTCTCAGTCTTGGTACAACTGATATTTTAGGCTGGATAATTCCATGTTGTGGGGGGGCTATCCTGTGCACCGTAAAATGTTTGGCGTCATCCCTGACCTCCATCTACCAGATGCCAATAATATCCCTTTATCTTCCAGATTTGAAACCAAAAGCATCCCTGGACACTGCCAAATGGCCCCTCAGGGGCAAAACTGCCCCTAGTTGAGAACTACTGCCATAAGGTCATAGAAAACCAGTGCAGGCGGTTCTAGAAGGAATGGAATTCATACAATTAGTGCCTAGGCTTATTCTAGGTGCTCAAAAAATATTGAATGAATGAATAAGTGGAGTCAATGAATGAATGAGCTTCCTGGAGTCCCCTTGACATATTCCTTTTGGGATCCATCCAGAAGATCCCTGGGCTAGTAATTAAGTTCAAAAGTACCCAGGTGAGTAATAACAATAACACAACATGCATTTATACAGTGCTCCTTAAAAACTGTGTGATCTTGGGCAAGTAGTTCAAACTGTCTGAGTCTCAAGTCTACCAGTTCTTGTTCTTTTTTTTTTTTTTTCAGAGATTTTAAGTAATCTCCACACCCACCATGGGGCTCAAACTCACAACCCCAAGACCAAGAGTCACATGCTTTACCGAATGAGCCAGCCAAGTGCCCCAGGTCTGCCAGTTCTTATGTGGAGATAACAAACCCTAGCTTGCAAGGCCATTGGGAGAACCAAATGAGATAATCAAGCATTAGAGGTCTAAGCACTCACTCCTTCGTTGCAACTGATAAGAGGACTCTTAGCAAGATGCCCCCCCCCACCCAGCTCCTGCCACTAAGCTTTACCTGTAAGAAGGACAAGGAGGGTAGTTGGAGTGTATACTTTTTTGGTTATAAACATGTGGGGAATACTGAGCACTGTGCCAGGACCTGACACATCCACTATCTAACTCACCCTTGCAAGCAACCAGGTTAGTTAAGAGGCCCAGAGAGTTGTGACATGCCCAGGATCACACAGCTAAATAAGTGCCTCCCTGAAAGCGAAAGCCTCAGCCACCACTGAGGGCTGACCTTCATCACACCAATGCTTGTTTGGATTGTGAGTTTTTGGGGAAATGCTTTCTGTATTCTGTGTTCTGTAGTTTCTTATAGACATACATGACCAGATCGGGAAAATTCTTCTGCAAATACTGGAAAGGTTCTCCAATTCTCGACCTCATCCTGAAATGAAACATAAATGTATTAGCATGGTGGTCCCCAGATCATCTTCCCCCTTTATAGCATCTGGGCCCGGAGATCTCTTTGCTCCCTCAATTTCTAGAGCACAGCATGTCAGGACTTTGGAATCCGACAGAACAAGATTCATCTCCTAACAACTCTTCAGCTAACTGGCAACTTATTTGTGAACCCCAGTTTTATCATTCATAACATGGAGATGATATAGTTCCACAATCTCTTACCTACAGTTCCAAAATCCAAAAGAGCCCTGAAAACTGCAAGGTTTTTTGAGTTTGCAGCTACCATTTTGGGCAGCAAAAGCTGATTTTACTAACACGGGTCTACTTTTTAGACATTTACAGTGCTACATTCACCTTACCCAGCTGCCCAGTCCCCTGCACTGCTTCCCACGAGGGAGTCACTACCCTTCTGTTCAAGAGGGCTCAGCAAAAAGCTAAGAAGGAGGGGCGCCTGGGTGGCTCAGTCGTTAAGCGTCTGCCTTCAGCTCAGGTCATGATCCCAGGATCCTGGGATCGAGCCCCGCATTGGGCTCCCTGCTCCGCGGGAGGCCTGCTTCTCCCTCTCCCACTCCCGCTGCTTGTGTTCCTGTTCTCGCTATCTCTGTCTCTGTCAAATAAATAAATAAAATCTTTAAAAAAAAAAAAAAAAGCTAAGAAGGAAGATGAGAACCTGCCAGGCACATCCAACATTCATTGTTCTGACAATGTGTTGGCCCTTTTCCAAACAGAGGGAAGGAATTACTTTTCATTTCATCAAAACAAATTTCTTCTTTCTAACAAATAGCAGATATAAATTTAGAATGGGATTTTTTAATCATCCTCATTTCATATATGGCTTACAGGAACAGAAATAATACTCACTCCTTATTTTTTTCTTCATTAATATGTTCTCCCAGATTCCGGATGAACTTTAGCAGATCATGCACAGTGTCCTTATAGGTGTACCTTTTATATCTATAAAACTTATTCATTTCTTCCATAACATACTTGTCAATCTAAAAAAAACATTATGCAAAAAATGTGGTAGCACTACAGAATAAATCCTCATGAGATGTTAATACAAAGAGGCAAAATACAAATTTGAATATATGCCCAATTTACCACTAATTAATAGAGCAAATTAATAGAAAGAAATGAATGGAAGTAAATACTATACAGTAATGGTGTCTGGATGCAGGATCATAAGGAACTCTACATTCCAGTCTCTCTTTTCCAAGTGAACTATTTTCATGAGAAATTACATATATTGAAACATGGCTTAGGAATTCTTTGGCTGTTATACCAGGAAATTTGCTCATCATGCTATGCAGTATTTTTATCCTTGCAGTGACCCATCCGAGTTGGTAACTGATTACATTTCCCCCTTGAAGAGGATTCATTCAGACTAACAATAGACCTGACAGCCATTGCCGAAGCGAGGGTGGTTGTTTTTGTTCGGTTTTGTTTTGAATTTATTTCCAAAGGTGTCATGTTTCTCCTTGCCTCTAAGTGTCCCAGAGCAGCTTCTCTCAAGTCGACGCCTCTCTCTTTGTGCGTGCACCCTTGTCGATGGCTGTCATATTTAGAAAGCCTGTCTGTGTGGCAGGACGGGGTGGCCTGTGGAGAGGAGGCAGCAGCAAACACTGGAAAACCTGGCTCCTCCGCACCGCCACAAAGCTGAACGTCCAGCCGTGAAAATGGGCAAGTCACGAAAAGCAACAGAAAACCAAAGTCTCACTTGGGAACTAACAGATAAGACTTGAGTCTGTCAAAATTCAGTATAAGTCAATGAAGTTTAGGGGAAAGAACTGATGAACTGGGAAACGAAAGAACAGGTTTTCCTCCCGGTTCTGCCAATCTCTGCCTCTCCAGTCCTGGCTATTTCAGGTCACACCTCTGAGTCTCAATGTGCTCAACCATTAAATGGATTGGTGGACTCGATGGCACCATCTCTTCCTGCAGGGAGTGGCCTTAGCGCACGGCCTCGGCAGCCAGACTGCCCAGCAGCAGACTCTGGGGCTGGCTCTGGACCGTTGGAAAAAGTGATTTGTCTATGCCTCCATGGGCCCACCTGTGACACGGAGGCAATTAGCTCAGAGGTTGTTATAAGGATTAACTGTGGAGACTCATAAAGCCCTGGGAATGGTAACTGCCATATAGTCAGCACTAGAGAATTGTCAGCTATTACTGTCATCGGCTTTGGTTTCAGACTTCTCTATATCTGCAAGTTTTAGAAGAGGCTTTTTTTTTTTTAAGATTTTATTTATTTGAGAGAGAGCACGAGCAGGCTGAAGGGGCAGAGGGAGAGGGCAAAACAGGCTTCCCACTGAGCAAGGAGCCAGGCACAGGGCTCGATCCCAGGACCCTGAGATCATGACCTGAGCCCAAGGCAGACGCTTAACCGACTGAGCCACCCAGGCGCCCCTTAGCTGAAGTTTTATAGACATTCATTAGCAGAGTCATGGTGCACCTACTCCATGCCAGGAATTCAGTAGTGACAAGACAACAGACAGTCTCTTCACTTGCGGAATTTGCAGGGTAGCCGGAAAGATGGACACCAAGGCAGCAATTATGAGTGTGATGTATCATCTAGGGGCAAGCGAGGGAAGGAAAGCAAAATGAGAGCCAGAAACAAAGAGGTGTGGGAGAAGCAGTCCTAGATCAGGCACAGGATAGGGAAGCTGTTGGTCTCAGTCAAAGAGCTGAGGAGTATGGATTCTCCCATAGTGCTTTGCACAGTCTCTGGGCTGCCCAGCATGCATCCCACAGGCAATGTTTCCGTGGGTCTCTCGGCCCTGCATGGACCATGCTGTACTCTGCTTCACATGCCCATGGCCTCGTGTGGGTCCAGCAGGTAACTGGTACTTGATAGATGTCTGCTAAGTAATAATAATGAAAGTTCTGGGAGGTGCCTGGGTGACACAGTTGGTTAAGTGTCCAACTCTTGGTTTCGGCTCAGGTCATAATCTCAGAGATGTAGCCCTGCCTCGGGCTCCACACTCAGCACAGAGTCTGCTTAAGATTCTCTCTCACTCTCTCCATCTCCCCCTGCCCCTCCCCCCTCCCTGCTCTCACACACACGCATGCACTCTCTCTCTGAAGATAAATAAACCTTAAAAAAAAGAAAGTTCTGATAGCACCGATTAGCTTGAGATGACGGCTGATTTTTTATGTTTTACTATATTTAGTTCAAGTTAGGTGGACCCTTTCCTGAAGAGGAGGAATTTGAAAGATCACCTTTTCTTCACGGTGTGTTTTCTCAGGCAGAAGGTAGATGTGACTGCTCAGAGCTGGGCTGTACACAGACAGCAGAGGCAGCCGATCGCTCCCTGGATGAGAAGCCTCATGGTGGAGCAGCTCCTTGGGGTTAAACTCTTATTTAATCAGCTGCTCTTGTCACAGTAGTAATAAGATCATTAGCCGGGCCTCTCTTAGAACCAAGGCTGGAAGGAAAGAGCCCTAAGAAAGGAAAAGACCCCTAGACTGGGACAAGGCCTTCCTAAAGAGGAGTGTAGATGAAAGTCTGTCAGGAGGGCCTGGCCTCTGAAAGATGGAGCAGGGACCCAACAGGGCAGACGGGGACTGGGATGGAGAGACAGGCAGGGAAATCACCTCTTCCACCCCTTGGTTGAGCCAGGCCAACAATAAAAAAAAAAAAAAAAAAAGTTAGAAAAACTAACTTAACACATTAACAGATCCTTATTCCTAGAATAACTTCCAGACCATAGGAATTGTTCATACCTTAGAAGTCCACTTGGCAAAACTTCTGGAACATTCAGATTTTTCAAGTCGTAGTAGTTGGACAATCTTGCTTGTAAGCAATGGCCTTTTAATGTCAGATTCATTTCCCACATCCCTAAGGGTCCTATAGCGGCTGAGGATGACAGAATTATCATGGTCATTCCATCTGCCCTCTCTTTTCAGAAAGAAAACAATGTTACATTTTGCTTTTTGATAAAAGTAGTAAAACCATGTCTCTAAAAATCCTGCATGATGAGAGAGGCAGACAGGCATCTTTTTCTCTCTCTCTTTTACTGTTCTTCAGAAAACAAAACCAGAGGGATGCCTGGGTAGCTCAGTTGGTTAAGCGTCTGCCTTCGGCTCAGGTCATGATCTCAGGGTTCTGGGATCGAGCCCCACATCGGGCTCCCTGCTCCATGGGGACTCTGCTTCTCCCTCTTCCTCTGCCTACTGCTCTGCCTACTTGTGCTCTATCTCTCTGTCAAATAAATAAATAAAATCTTTAAAATTAAAAAAAAAGAAAGAAAACAAAACAAAAACAGAATCTAGAGAGGTTAAGTCACTGCTCCAAAGACACACAGCCAGGAAATGCCAAGCTGAGAGGAGAGCCTGGGTCTGTTGATTCCTAGCCTGACTCATTCCCACACCGCCCTACCACTATAGTTAATGTCATGTGTTAATTTGTCTGGCCACAAGGGGCCCAGATTAAATATTATTCTAGGTGTATCTGTGAGGTGTTTCCAGATGAGATTCGCATTTGAGCTGGTAAACTCAGTAAGGCAGATCACCATCCCCAGTGTGAATGGGCCTCATCCAACCCACTGACAGCCTATTTAGAATAGAAGATGGAAGAGGGGAAAAGATGGCGGAGGAGTAGGGGACCCTATTCCAACCAGTCCCTGGAACTGAGCTGGATATCTACCAGACCACTCTGAACACCCACAAAATCAGCCTGAGATGTAAGAAGATAGATCTGGATCTCTACAAACAGAATATCGCAGGTGGTTGGTTTCAAGGTACAAGCAGGGAGCTGGGATTCCACGGGCAGATGTCAGAGGATAAACAGAAGGGGTAGGGAGCTGTGGGGATCCTACACCACTGGTGAGCAATGGCCTCTCGTGCTGGGGCTGGGGCACAGACTTGCAGACCAGTAGCAGCAGGGAAAGGACTTTAGGGCAGCCCCCCCAGAGGGAAACCCAGAGCAGGGCCAAGCGTGCAAACTGGGGTGGCTGCTGGTTTTAGAAGCACAAAGAGCAGAGACGTGCCCTGACCTGGAGGCAGGACTGGGAGCCCTGCAGAGAGGCGGACAACCCAGGACGCTGCTGTTTATAGCAGCACGGACAGAAACTGAGATAGTGTGGCCAGGAGAGCTCACTGAAGAACAGATGGCGATCTCTCTGCTCTGAGGCAGAGGGTTGGAAATGGTCTCTTCTGCTCTCTCAGAAGAGACGCAGAAAGCTGCCAGGGAAAGCCCCCAGAGAACAAAAGCCCCCCAAAACCGGTTTTCACCAAGCCCATCCCACCCCATAGGGGGCAGGGCAACTCTGCCCAAACAGGGTTGCCTGAGTAACAGTGAGGCAGGCCCCTCCCCCCAGAAGACAGGCTGGGAAAACAAGAGGCCAGCAACCCTACGGTCCCTAGAAAACAGGTGCATCTTGCTTGGGTTCTGGTCAATAATTTGGACTCTATACATTCCCTCAAACACCCCTCAACAGAATGACTAGGAGAAGGAACCCCCAAAATAAGAAAGACTCAGAGATTATGATTTATGCCAAAGATTTACAAATGGATTCAGATATAACCAAGATGTCGGAGATGGAATTCAAGCTAGCAATTGTGAAGACAATAGCTAGAATGGAGAAATCAATTAATGGCAACATAGAGTCTCTAGGGGCAGAAATGAAAGCTGAATTGGCAGAACTTAAAAATGCTATCAATGAGATCCAATCTAATCTAGATAATCTAACAGCTAGGGTAAGCAAGGTAGAAGAACGAATTTGTGACATGGAAGACCATTTAGTAGATAAAAAGGGAAAAGAGAAGGCCAGGGAAAAACAATTCAGAATCCATGAAAATAGAATCAGAGAAATAAGTGACACCATGAAATGTTCCAATGTCAGAATTATTGGGATCCCTGAGGGGTGGGGAGAGAGAGAGGACTAGAAGATATAATTGAGCAAATCGTATCTGAGAACTTCCCTAATCTGGGGATTGAAAAAAACATTTGTGTCCTAGAGGCAGAGAGGACCCCTCCCAGGATCAAGAAAAACAGGCCAACACCCCAGCATGTAATAGTAAAACTCACAAATCTTAGAACCAAGAAAACCATCTTAAGAGCAGTTAGGGGGAAGAGATTCCTTACGTACAGAGAGAGGAACATAAGAATAAGGTCAGACCTATCCACAGAGACCTGGCAAGCCAGAAAGGCCTGGAAAGACATATTTAAGGTACTAAACAAGAAGAACATGCAGCCAAGAATACTTTATCCGGCAAGGCTGTCATTTAGAATGGATGGAGAGATGCAGAGCTTCCAAGACAGGCAGAAACTGAAAGAACATGTGACCACTAGGCCGGCCCTGCAAGAAATATTAAGGGGGGTTCTATAAGAGGAGAAAGACTACAAGAGTGATATAGAAAAGAAATTTACAGGGACAATCTATAAAAACAAGGTCTTCACAGGCATCATGATGACAATAAATTCATATCTTTCAATAATCACTCTCAACCAATGAGAACGAATGAAATCAATGTGGACGGCCTCAATGCTCCCATAAAACGGCACAGGGTTGCAGACTGGATAAAAAGACAGGACCCATCCATATGCTGTCTACAAGAGACTCATTTTGAACCTAAAGATACATCCAGACTGAAAGTGAAGGAATGGAGATCCATCTTCCATGCCAGCGGACCTCAAAAGAAAGCTGGGGTAGCAATTCTCAGACAAATTAGATTTTAAACTAAAGACTGTAGTTAGAGACACAGAAGGACACTATATCATTTTTAAAGGGTCTATCCAACAAGAAGATCTAACAATTGTAAATATCTAGGCTCCCCAACATGGGAGCAGCCATCTACATAAGCCAACTGTTAACCAAAATAAAGAGTCATATTGATAACAACAGGTTAATTGTAGGAGACCTCATCTGAGCAATAGACAAATCATCTAAGCAGAAAATCAACAAAGAAACAAGAGCTTTGAATGACACACTGGACCAGATGGACCTCATAGATATATACAGAACATTCTACCCTACAACAACAGAATACTCATTATTCTCGAATGCACATGGAACTGTCTCCAGAATAGACCACATAGTGGGTCACAAATCAGGTCTCAACCAATACCAAAAGATTGAGATTATTCCCTGCATATTCTCAGACCATAATGCTTTAAAACTGGAACTCAATCACAAGAAAAAATTTGGCAGAAATTCAAACACCTGGAAGCTAAAGACCACTCTGCTCAAGAATGTTTGGGTCAACCAGGAAATAAAAGAAGAACTTAAACAATTCATGGAAACCAATGAGAATGAAAACACATTGGTCCAAAACCCATGGGACACTGCAAAGCCGGTCCTAAGGGGGAAATACATAGCCATCCAAGCCTCACTCAAAAAAATAGAAAAATCTCAAATTCACCAACTAACCCTACACCTTAAAGAACTAGAGAAAAAGCAACAAACGATGCCTAAGCCATGCATTAGAAGAGAAATAATTAAGATTAGAGCAGAGATCAATGAATTAGAAACCAGAAACAAGTAGATCAGATCAACAAAACTAGAAGCTGGTTCTTTGAAAGAATTAGTAAGATTGATAAACCACTGGCCAGACTTATCCAAAAGAAAAGAGAAAGGACCCAAATTAATAAAATTATGAATGAAAGGGGAGAGATCCCAACTAACATCAAGGAAATAGAAATAATTATTAGAAATTATTATCAACAACTCTATGCAAATAAACTGAGCAATCTGGATGAAATGGATGCCTTCCTGGAAACCTACAAACGGCTAAGACTGAAACAGGAAGAAATTGACAACCTGAATATGCCAATAACCAGTAACGAGATTGAAGCAGTGATCAAAAACCTCCCAAAAACAAGAGTCCAGGGCCTGATGGATTCCCTGGAGAATTCTACCAAACACTCAAAGAAGAAATAATACCTATTCTCCTGAAGTTGTTTCAAAAAATAGAAACAGAAGGAAAGCTTCCAGACTCATCCTATGAGGCCAGCATTACCTTAATCCCCAAACCAGGCAAAGACCCCATCAAAAAGGAGAATTTCAGACTGATATCCCTGATGGATATGGATTCCCAAATCCTCAACAAAATCCAAGCTAATAGGATCCAACAATACAGTAAAAGGATCATCCACAACGACCAAGTCGGATTTATCCCCAGGATGCAAGAGTGGTTCAATATTCACAAATCAATCAGTGTGATAGGACACATTAATAGGAGGAGAGAGAAGAACCATATGGTCCTCTCAATTGATGCGGAAAAAGCATTTGACAAAATACAACATCCTTTCCTGATTAAAACTCTTCAGAGTATAGGGGTAGAGGGAATATTCCTCAAGTTCATAAAATCCATCTATGAAAAACCCACAGCAAATATCATCCTCAATGGGGAAAAGCTGAGAGCCTTTCCCTTAAGATCAGGAACACATCAAGGATGCCCACTCTTGCCACTATTGTTCAACATAGTACTAAAAGTCCTAGCAACAGCAATCAGACAACAAAACGAAATAAAAGGTATTCAGATTGGCAAAGAAGAAGTCAAACTCTCTCTTTTCGCAGATGACATGATACTTTATGTGGAAAACCCAAAAGACTCCATCCCAAAATTACTAGAACTCATCCAGCAATTCAGTAATGTGGCAGGATACAAAATCAATGCACAGAAATCAGTTGCTTTCTTATACAATAACAATGCAACTGTAGAAAGAGAAATTAGAGAAACAATTCCATTTACTATAGCACCAAAAACCATAAGATACCTCGGAATAAACCTAACCAAAGAGGTAAAGGATCTATACTCTAGGAACTACAGAATGCTCATGAAGAAAACTGAAGAAGACAAAAAAAGATGTAAAAATATTCCATGCTCATGGATTGGAAGAATAAACATTGTTAAAAATGTCTATGCTACCCAGAGCAATCTATACCTTCAATGCCATCCCAATCAAAAGTCCAATGACATTTTTCAAAGTGCAGGAACAAACAATCCTAAAATTTGTATGGAATCAGAAAAGACCCCCAATCGCCAAGGAAATGTTGAAAAAGAAAAACAAAGCTGGGGTCATCATGTTGCCCGATTTCAAGCTATATCACAAGTTGATCACCAAGACAGCATGGTACTGGCACAAAAACAGACATACAGACCAATGGAACAGAATAGAGAGCCCAGATATGGACCCTCAACTCTATGGTCAAATAATCTTCAACAAAGCAGGAAAAAATATGCAATGGGAAAAGGCAGTCTCTTCAATAAATGGTGCTGGAAAAATTGGACAGCCACATGCAGAAGAATGAAACTCGAACATTCTCTAACACCATTCACAAAGATAAACTCAAAATGGATGAAAGACCTCAATATGAGACAGGAATCCATCAAAATCCTAGAAGAGAACATAGGCAGTAACCTCTTTGACATCGACCACAGCAACTTCTTTCAAGATACATCTCCAAAGTCTAGTGAAACAAAAGCAAAAATGAACTTTTGGGACTTCATCAAGATAAAAAGCTTCTGCACAGCAAAGGAAACAGTCAACAAAACAAAGATGCAACCCCCAGAATGGGAGAAGATATTTGCAAATGACACTACAGATAAAGGGCTGGTATCCAAGATCTATAAAGAACTTCTCAAACCCAACACCCAAAAAACAAATAATCAAGTCAAAAAATGGGCAGAAGATACGAACAGACAATTCTCCGAAGACATACAAATGGCTAACAAACACATGAAAAAGAGTTCATCATCATTAGCCATCAGGGAAATTCAAATCAAAACCACATTGAGATACCACCTACACCAGTTAGAATGGCAAAAATTGACATGGTAAGAAACAACAAATGTTGGAGAGGTTGTGGAGAAAGGGGAACCCTCTTACACTGCTGGTGGGAATGCAAGTTGGTACAGCCACTTTGGAAAACAGTATGGAGGTGCCTCAAAAAATTAAAAATAGCGCTACCCTATGACCCAGCAATTGCACTCCTAGGTATTTACCCCAAAGACCCAGATGTAGTGAAAAGAAGGGCCATATGCACCCCAATGTTCATAGCAGCAATGTCCACAACAGCCAAACTGTGGAAAGAGCCAAGATGCCCTTCAACAGACTAATGGATAAAGAAGATGTGGTCCATATATACAATGGAATATTACTCAGCCATCAGAAAGGATGAATACCCAACTTTTACATCAACATGGATGGGACCGGAAGGGATTATGCTAAGTGAAATAAGTCAAGCAGAGAAAGTCAATTATCATATGGTTTCACTTATTTGTGGAACATAAGGAATAGCATGGAGGACATTAGGAGAAGGAAGGGAAAAATGAAGGGGGGGAAATCGGAGCGAGAGATGAACCATGAGAGACTACGGACTCTGAGAAACAATCTGAGGGTTTTAGAGGGGAGGCGGGTGGGGGGATGGGTTAGCCTGGTGATGGGTATTAAGGAGGGCACGTACTGCATGGAGCACTGGGTGTTATACGAAAACAATGAATTGTGGATCACTACATCAAAAATTAATGATGTATTGTATGGTGACTAACATAACATAATAAAATAAAATTTAAAAAAAGAAAGGTAAAAAAATAAATTTTATTGACATAAATATTAAAAAAAGAAATAGAATAAAAGATGGAACTCATCCCTTCTTGTCTGATTTTTTTCAGCTGGGCCATCAATCTTCTCTTGCCCTCAGCCCTCCCAGTTCTCAGGCCTTCAGACCCTTACTGGAACCCACATCATCAGTGCCCCTGGTTCTCAGGCCTTTGGATTTGGACTAAATTACACTATGGGCTTTCCTGCGTCTCCAGCTTGCAGAGGCAGATCGTGAGAATTCTCAGCCTTAATACTGCATGAGCCATTTCCTTCTAAAAAAATAAATATATAGGGATGCCTGAGTGGCTCAGTTGGTTAAAGTGCCTCACTCTTGATTTCGGCTCAGGTCATGATCTCAGGGTCCTGAAATAGAGCCCCACATCGGGTTCTGTGCTCAGCACAGCATACTTAAGATTCTCTAAATAAATAAATAAAATATTTTTTAATAAGTAAATCTAAATTTATATTTATCATTTGGATATCTATATCTATATCTATCTATCTAGCTAGATATCATTTGAACATATATATATCTCATGACTAATACACTCATTGTCTTGCTTCTGGAGGCCTGGAATATGCCATCAACTTTTTTTTTTTTTAAAAGATTTTATTTATTTATTTATGAGAGCAACTTTTACTTACTTCTGCCAACTCCAAAAGAAGGGATGACCCAGCAGGCCACTCAGGTGCCCCTGCACATTGTCTCCAGGGTTAAACAGTTGATGAATGAGGTCCCGAGTTTCCTCATCTGGAGAAAGTTGAATCACCTCTTCATTACTTTTAGTCTTCAGTGTCTCAAAAGGGAGCTCTCCCTTCCTTACCACATATAGGACTAGCTGTCCAAGGGCCTGCACGAAAGCCACAAATCAAGCGAAAGGTGTCTGTGAATTCTCGCTCTGTATGGAGGTGTGGTGCAGGTTATGACCAAATGGAAAGTGGGAGAAATCTCGAGGAGTCCACAGGTTCTGCATGGAGAACCCTTCAAGACAGTATACGGTCCCCACAATTTAGGTTTATAAGGAGCAAAAGATAATCCTAGGCCAGAGTTGTCAGGGCAAACTGCTTAGAGGAAGAGGAATTTGAGCTGGACCTTAAAGTATGGATCGAATGTCAATAAACAGGGGAGAGGAAAACTGTTTTCAGCAAGGGAAATGCCAGGACTCTGGCTGGAAACTGAGACTTTGGGTTGGGACTATGTGAGATGGCAGATCAAGGAGCCAGTCCAGGTCCAGTGGGACACGGTGACAGCTCCAGGAGTTAGGCCATGACAGGGAAGAAAGGTCAAGCAGGAGGCCAACATAGGCACTTCCTACAGCAGGCAAGACACCAGTCACGGAAGGAGCTAAAATCCTTTTAGCAGCAAAGGCCAGATGTGGCTGGAGAGCTCTTGCCCTGGGGTTGAACGTTCTGCACCCTGGAGAACCCCCCCAGGAGGAAATTGCCTGGACAGGGTGAGAGTCAGCCTGGGAGCTTTGGTCCACAGGGGTCAGGCTCTGTTTCTGTCTCCTCCCAGGAGAAACAGCTATTTCAGGCTCTTAACCTCTGTGGCCAAGATTAGTTTCTTTCAAGCTGAGGACCAATCCAATCCCTCCCATGGGTTTCAGAGAGCCTTCATATCTGGCCCTCCTAGGAGTTTAGCATACAAGTTTGAACGGAATGGGAAAAGAAATCCCATTTGCTTTGTCTGCAGGCAGGAAATACCTCCTGCAGGAATTTTGGAGGCCATTTGGACATACCTCCTGAAGGTAATTTTAGAAGAGGTATGGCATGCTCAATTCATTTCCTATCTAGCTGGTGGAGGAAGAGAGAGCCAAAGAGATACAGAAAAGGGCCACAGCAGCCCAGAGAAATGCCACTGTCGGCAAAGGAGTGAAGGCAGTGAGCCCTGGGGGAATGCCTTGGAAGTTAGTTAGAAGAGGTAAAACAGAAATGACGTCTAATTGGCCATAGGAAATAAGGGAATGAACGAAACAAATAAGGAAGCAGAAAGATGGGAAAGTAAACCAATTGTAGAATTTACCTGTAGATCTCTCTTGATTTCCTGCAGCTCTCCAGTCCACTTGATGCTTTCATTAAAATCTGCCAGGCAAACAGCATTCTTGGAATCTAAGGGATAGTTTGTAGAGATACAGTGAAAATCCTCTCTCTTCATGTTGTAATTAACTTAAATAAATATGTACCAAAATGCGCTATCATCTCTGAAGAAGGCAATAATAAAGCTTATATCTGCATGGCTATTTACTCTTCAAAGAGCCATGTGCACAGTGTCATTTGACTTATTAGTCAATGGCAGGATTTAAATTTCATTTTCTCCAGGCCTGGGCATGGGGAAGGATGAGGATAAAGTTAACCAGTTCCCCATTCAGGCAATTCCTGGGGGCAATGAGCACAGATTTATTAAGGGACTGTTGGCAGGAGATACGTTGACTTCCTAAGGCTAAGTAACAACTAACCAACGAGACTCCAAATCCAAGAGCAGCTTACCACAGTGCTCCACTCAATCAAGCCCACCAAGCACAGCCCCCTATGACACTGTAATCAGTTATCATGGATTAACCATGTGCTTGGAATGAGCCACTACATCCTTGCCCTCCTCAGAATCGCTCTCTCTTGAAGGAAGCCACTGAGTCTTCGGGAAGAAGGATGCATGGATGGGTGAGGTCAGGAACAAGATGAAAGGAGAGCAAGTCAGTGACCTGTCCTTGAAGAAGTAGCTCCTGCTTCTGGCTTGAAGGTGTCTAAGAAAGCAAACTGGGTAACTACAGGCAGCAGGATGGTCAGCACAATTGTGTGCTTCTCAAACCCCTTTGGTTCTAAACTTAGATATCAAAGTTGAGCGGAAACCCACAGTCCAACAAAAACGAAACAATTAAACTATTCAACCAGGGTCTAGTGAGGGGAAAAATGACAGTGAAAGAGGAGAACACAGCACAGGCCCTGTGGAGTTTTGAGTCTCTGAGCAATGAGTGAATATAAAATTAATTGCAACTTTATTTTTTTTAAAGATTTATTTATTTATTTTAGAAAGAGAGAGAGCAAGTAGGGAGAGGGACAGAGAGAGACAAGCAGACCCTGCGCAGAGCATAGAGCCCCATGCAAGGCTCGATCCCAGCACCCTGGGATCATGACCTGAGCCGAAGGCAGATGCTTAACTGGTTGAGCCACCCAGGTGCCCCTAACGGCAACTTTAAAAATGCTAGCCCAAAGTGCAGGATGCTCTGAAAGTGTATAACAAGAGCCACATGGCTGTGTGGGAGTGAAAAGTCTTCCTTTAAGGAAGGACACTGAGAACAGAGATCAGTAGAATTCACGTGGGTGAATGGAACAGGGAAGAGAGAATTCCAGATAGGAATTCCCAAGGTGGAAAGGAACCTGAAGAATTCCACTCTGACAGAAAGGAGGCCCGACAGCCTGGAGAGAAGGGATGAAGTTGGAAAGTAGCCTGCAACGAGGTTGAAGGGGCAGAGGGTGAAGATTGGAAACCAGGGACTGCTTACAGCTATCCCAACTAATAAATCCCCTTCACTGTTTAAGCCACTTTGAGTTCTCTGCTACTTAAATTTGCAAGCACCTAAGGGAACACTTCACAACTCTTCTAACACTTGATTTTTTTTTTTTTAACGAGCCCCAGGGTTTTTAATTTATTTTTAGATTCAATCAACATTGTTAAAGTGCTATAAAAATTTTAAACTCTTACACTTAGTTTCTGCACTTATAGAATCACAGACTGCTAACAGCTGATGGGCAGAGTTAGGATAAAATTTGCACACTCCACCCTGCTGTCAGTGAATCAAGAGTCTCTTCATCCTCACTCCCACCAGAGCGATATCATCTAAGATGATATTTTTTAATTAAAAATGTTAATTAAATAAATAAATAATTTTTCATTAAAAATAACACATATTTAGGTTACTTAAACAATTAATTTTTTTGTTTATTCTTTGCTGCTTATAAGTCACTGTTGTCTATCAGGCTCTTTCTCTCCTTCCTTATGCATATCCTCTAGCAGTTCTTTCATATATGGTCTGTGGGTAGGAAGTCTTCCTAGATCCTTAAATGTTTAAAAAATGTATTTCAACAACTGGTGCTTAGAAAAACTGGACAGCTACATGCAAAAGAATGAAAATGGACCATACACAAAATAAACTCAAAATGGATTAAAGACCTAAATGTGAGACCTGAAACCATTAAACCCCTAGAAAAAAAACCAGACAGTAATTTCTTTGACATTGGCCATAGGAACATTTTTCCAGATATGTCTCCTCAGGCAAGGAAAACAAAAGCAAAACTAAACCACTGGGACTACACCAAAATAAAAAGCTTCTGCACAGCAAAGGAAACTATCAGCAAAACGACAAGGGAGCCTACTGAATGGGAGAAGATATCTGCATGATATATCCAATAATGGGTTAGTATCAAAAATGTATAAAGAACATATGCAACTCAACACCAAAAAACACAAACAATTTGATTAAAAATGGGCAGAGGTCCTGAATAGACATTTTTTCCAAAGAAGACACACAAAGGGCCAACAGACACAAGAAAAGATTCTCAACATCATTCAGGGAAATGCAAATCAAAACCATGAAGAGATATCACCTTACCCTTGTCAGAATGGCTAGAATCAAAAAGACAATAAATAAGTGTTGGCAATAATGTGAAGAGAAAGAAACACTTATGCACACTGTTGGTGGGAATGTAAATTGGTGCAGCCACTGTGGAAAACAGTATGGAGGTTCCCCAAAAAGTTGAAAATAGAAATACCATATATCCAGTAATTCCACCACTGAGTATTTACCCAAAGAAAACAAAACCACTAATTTGAAAAGTTATATGCACACTTATGTGCTGCAACATTATTTACAATAACCAAGATATGGAAGCATCTCAAGTGTCCATCAATAGATGAGTGGGTAAAAAAGATATGGCATATATATACACATATATAATGGAATAGTACTCAGCCATCAAAAAATGAGATCTTGCCATTTGTGACAATATGGATGGTCCTAGAGAGTATAATGCTAAGTGAAGTAAGTCAGTTAGAGAAAGCCAAACACCATATGATTTCACAAAGGGAGAAAAAAGGGCAAACAAAAAAAGACTCTTAAACACAGAGAACAAACGGGTGGTTTCCAGAGGGGAGGTGGGTAGGGAGATGGGGGAAATAAAGGGGATTAAAGTACACTTTTCATGATGAGCACTGAGTAATGTCTAGAATTGCTGAATCATTATATTGTATACCTGAAACTAATATAACACCGTATGTTAATAATACTCAATCAAAAATATGTATTTATTTTGAATCATGTATAATTTGATGGTTGTCTTAGTCAATTCTGGATGCTATAACAAATTACAGTAGATGGGTGTGGCTTAAACAACAGAAATTTATTTAGTTCGCACAGCTCTGAACACTGGAAATCTGAGCTCAGGGTGTCAGCAGCATTGCGTTCATGGTAAGGGCCCTCATATTGGTGTATAGACAGCCATCTTCTTTGCTGTATCTTCATATGGTAGAAAGACAACTAGCTAGCTCTTTTTATAAGGGCACTAATCCATCCAAAGCAATTTTGAGAAAGAATAAAGCTGGAGGCATCACACTTCCTGGTTTTAAATTATATTACAAAGACCTAATAATCAAAATAGTACAGTACTGGTATAAAATCAGGCACATAGATGAATGAAACAGAATCAAGAGCCCAAAAATAAACCCATACATATGCAGTCAACTAATATTTGACAAGGGAGCCAAGAATGCTCAATGGGGAAAAGATAATCTCTTCAAAAAATGATGTTGGAAAAACTGGATAGTTACATGCAAAAGAATGAAAGTAGACCCCTATCTTATGCCACTCACAAAAGCTAATTTAAATGGATTAAAGACTTAAATGTAAAACCTGAAACCGTAAAACTTCTAGAAGAAAACATAGGGAAAAAGCACCTTGATATTGGTCTTAGCAATGATATTTTAGATATGACACCAAAAGCAGAGCAACAAAAGCAAAAATAAACAAGTGAGACTACATCAGACTAAAAGCTTCTGCACAGCAAAAGAAACCATCAACAAAATGAAAATGCAATGTATAGAAATGAAGAAAATATTTACGAATCATGTATCTGATATGGAGTAAATATACATATTAATATATATTTATATATATGAAATTTCTATGCATATGAAATATATATGTTTACATATATGTGAAATTTATATATATGAAATATATACTTATGTACATGAAATATATATATATTTATATATATGAAATTCATTCAACTCAATAGCAAAAATCAAATGCTCTGATTAAAAAATGGGCAAAGGACCTGAATAGACATTTTTCCAAAGACATTAAAAGAGCCAACAGGTACATGAAAAAGTGCTCAATATCAGTAATTATCAGGGAAATGCAAATCAAAACTACAATGTGATATCATCTCACACATCTGTTAGAATAATTATCAAAAAAACAGGAGATAACAAGAGTTGGTGAAGATGTGGACAAAAGGGAACCCTGTGTGTTTTTGGTGGGAATGTAAATTGGTGCAGCCAGAGTGGAAAACAGCATGAAGGTTTCTCAAAAAATTACAAATAGATAAAACAGAAGTGTATCTGAAGAAAATGAAATCACTATCTGGAAGAGATATCTGCAGGGTTTCAACATATGAATTCTGGGGGAATACTAAGATTCAGCTGTTAGTAGGTTCTTTCTCCTCAGTTCCTTCTTTTTGTATTCAGGTTACTGCTGAAAGAAGTCTCTTACCAATCCTGATTCTGGTTTCTATGTAGGTAATTTGTTTTCTCTTGGGAGCTTTTGAGGTTTTCTTTTTCTCCCTTGATGTTTTGATATTCCTTTAAGTTGCGACTCAATGGGTTTTTTTCCTTATTTACCCTCAGCTCTTGGTGAGTTTTCAATAAGAGAACTATATCTATATTTATTTCTGGGACATTCTCACTTTTTTTTTTTTTCCAAATATTGCTTCAACCTCATTACTTCTTCCCTCTGAAATGCCTGATAGAACTTCAGATCTAAATCCTGACTTCTAAACCTTTTTCCCTATCCACCCTTTTATGCTTTTCTATTATTTCCTAGGAAAATTTCTCGGGCACATCTTCTAGCTCGCTAATTTAATCTTCAATCCAGTCTTGAGTTTTAAATTTTTAAACAATTATATTTTAAATTCCCAAATTCTCTATTCAGTTCTTTTCACAATGCTTATTGTTGCTTCTTGGATGAAATAACCTATCTTGGTTCTCTGGTTTTATTAATTATACTTACTTTAAAGTACTGTGGTTACTCAGGACGGCAAACTAAGTAAATGCCCATGTCCTAATCCCTGGAATCTGCAAATATTAGTTTATATAGTTACACACTCACACAAAAGGACTTTGCAGATGTGATTAAGAATCTTGAAACAGTGGGCACCTGGTGGCTTAGTCAGTTAAGCGTCCGACTCTTGATTTAGGCTCAGGTCATGATCTCAAGGTAGTGGGACCGAGCCCCATGTTAGGTTCTATGGTGAGTGTGGAGACTACTTAAGATTCTCTCTCTTCTCCCTCTGCCCCTCCCTGCTCACACTCTCTCTCCCTCTCTAAAAAGAGAGAGAGAGAATCTTGAAATAGTAGAGATTATCCTGGGTTAGCAGGGTGAGTCCTAAATGCAATCACACATATCCTTATGCAAGGCAGGTAAAGGGAGATCTGACAACAGAAGAGAAGGCAATGACTACAGAGGCAGAGATTGGGGTGATGCCACAAGCCAAGGAATACTAGCTGCCCACCAGAACAGGGAAAAGGCAAGGGTCTCCCCCCACAGCCTACAGAAGGAATTTGGCCTTGCTGACACATGATTTGGGGCCAGTGGAACTGATTTCATACTTTTTGCCTCCAGAACTATGGGAGAATAAATTTCTACCTGTTTTAAGCCACCAAGTTTGTGATAATTTGTTCCAGCAGCCATAGGAAACTAACACACTCAGTTAGCTTTGTTTCTTTGGGTCTAAGTTCTTCTATTTCATGCATCTTTTTCATGGTATCAGCACTTCATAAATATCTTCAGTGATTTTTTACTATAAGCCTTACTTTGCAGTTGAGAATCCTTGATCCCTTTGAGTTGCTTCTGTTAATGCCACCCAACACAGGGGAGAGAAGGAGGCAGTTGTCTGAACTTCTGCTTTGCGTTTTATTCAGTGAAACTAGGGGGTAAGCAGGATGTGCCACTTAGTAGGGTGCTTTGGCAGAAATCTTGTGGATTTAACTGCTCTTTGTTTCTCTTGAGATTATCAGGCACCCAGTGTCTCAAATAGTAGCCCTGTCTGCAGACAGACAGGCCTGGCACAGATGCTTGGTCTGTGGGGAATGCACAGGGTATGATCTTCCTATTTTCTACTGATGCAGCAATCTGCCTGTTAGCTGATCTTTTGTCCTCTCCTGCTTCTGGCTTCCATTACTCCTGAGTGGTGTTTCTTTGCACTGTTCCCACTTTTATGAGTAATATTTAGCTGTGGCATCCTGCGTTTGTCCTGGGCTCCCATGTATTTCTTTAATCCCATCCTATCAGGTTCAGTCTCTTTATGATTCCTCAAAGATTTTGTCCTGTAAAACCTCTTTTGTTATTTTGATTCCAGCTAGGGATTCATTTAACAATCTTTCCCTATCATTTTAGGGATCTAATACAAAGAACAGTCTGTAGTATGTGTTAGGTTCACCACCTGGAGGCAGAAATATAGTCAATTCTCAATTCTCTACTGTTCAAGCTTAAGAATAAAAGAGATGGTGCCAGAAATTCTGGAGAAGAGTTAGTGACAAGTAATTTTTCTTTATAATGTGACATGTGACTCTTTTGCATCAAGATCAGCAGTTAGAACTGGGAAGGACCCTGCCCTTGGCTGCATCTTGAGGATTCTGCTTCACTTTGTAGAGCTGCACATATTTCTGGCCTTTGTCAGTCTCCCCAACAAAGTTGCTTAAAACCAGGAAGGAGTGCCACTAGCACCTGTCCTCAAATTAAAAGCCAGATTCCAGTTGTATTCTGATGTCTACCTACTTCCTTCCAGGTCTTGTCCAGGATCTTAAATACTGTTCTCTGCCTTTCAATACCTGAACCCTCTTTTTGTCTTGTTCCCTTACACCTACCTTAAATCTCAGTACATGTCTGTAGATTAGGTATCTGTTTCTGCTTAGCCCTCTAGACAAGTACCTGGCCTTTGCTGAGTACCTACAACGTACAGGTAACTTGTCTAACACACTGCACTTAGACCTCATAACAACCTTATGAAAGAGGTGTTCGTCATCTTAAATGAGGAAACTAAGGCTCACAGAACTAAGTGACTTGTTTGAGGCTGCAAAGCTACAAAGTGGCATGACTAGGCTGCAAGCCTCCCTACACATGGCTAAAGCCAAGACTCTTCCTACTGCACCACATCACCTCTTGGGACTTTACACTCAGCTCTGCTTCTTTCCTTTAATGTTTCTTTCGTTTATTTTGTTTTTGGCTGAGGCCAGTGGGTGCTGACTCGTTCTGCCCACTTGGAGTCTGTTTCACTTGTTGCATCTTATCCTGGCATGCCCAGTTTTGACCTTGGTTTTGCCATTAAATTTCACAGTGGAGGGATGCCTGGGTGGCTCAGTCACTTAAGCTTCTGCCTTCGGCTCAGGTCATGATCCCAGGGTCCTGGGATTGAGTCCTGCATCAGGCTCCTTGCTCGGAGGGGACCCTGCTTCTCCCTTTGCCTGCTCTGCCTGCCGCTTCCCCTGCTTGGGTGCCCTTACTCTCTCTCTCTGACAAATACATAAATAAAATCGTTTAAAAAAATTTCACAGTGGCTACCATCTTGGCTGAAGGAACACACCTTCAGGATTCTCTGACTGGCAGGCTACTTTAGGAATTCAAATTTCTGGAGCTGACTCCATCCAAGACATAACCTTCATATTTGTATTTGCCAAAGGAAATATGAGGTTAGCCTGGTATTCCATTGGCATCTGTCACCTCCACGTGGGGTAAGGGTTATACCTGGTAGCAGGAGAAATAGCACTCTCATTGTGAATCTGTTACATTAATCTCCACTGAATCCACACTTACTCTACTCCTTTCCTCCTTGTAATGAAAATCTTTTCTTTTTGTAAATAAAGACCTCGCAATTTCTAAGAGAAGACTGGGGACTCACCTATTAAGATGTTTTGTGGGCACAGATCCTGGTGAGTGTATTCACACAGCAGATGTAGCTCTTCAACAGCCTTAAATACAGATAAGAGGGTGTTTCGGGCAAACTCGTCTTCCCCGTTTTCCACAGCCTGCCCACTGTGCTTGGCCAAGTGTTCCTCCAGGGTCTGCTCACAGAGGGCAAGACACACATACAGACAGTCCTTGTAGCTCTCACTCCCGTAGAATGTCACCAAGTCACTGTTTACTCGGGAGCTCTGCAGACAGGAGACTTCCTGATGTCCACGTGTGCTGCCTTCATAGAATCGTTTCACAGCTACTTCTTGCCCTTCATAGAACCCAAGGTAGATGCCCCCTTCAGAAGTGTCAGCAATCTTATATTCTTCATCAATAAAGATCTTGAGTTTGCCAATCATAGGACGGTATATTCTGCGGAGGTGTTCCAAGGCCTTCCCCCAGCGTGAGCTCTGAGGCTTCCAGTCTTCAGCGGGAGGGGGACAATCTTCTCTGGCCCCATGAGAGAGAAGAAGCTTTACAAGGGAACTGTCATAGTTGCGCCTCGCTATCATCACAAGTTCCCCACAGTCTGTGATGGCTCCTTTGTTGCATAACAGTTGAGCAATTTCCTTCAGTCTGAGCTGGACAGCCAACAGAAGCGCTGTTTTGCCCTCACTGTCTGTCTCATTAATCTCTATATGTTCTTGTTCCAGAAGTATCTGCACCAAACCCAAGTGCTTCTTTTCCACTGCCAGGATCAGGGGTGTCTTTCCTTTCTCTCCCCTCACATTGACATCAGCCCCATGGTGCAGCAGAAGGCGAGTGATGTCCTCCACATTTCTATCATCAGAACTCCTAAATGCATAGATCAAAGCATTTCTGCCCATATTGTCACGGGCTTTGACATCTGCCCCCATCTCATCAAGGAGGATCTTCAAGACATCCACATGTCCATTTTCAGCAGCATCCATTAGAGCTGTGGCCCCTCCTTTCCTAAGCCTCTTTTGATCCTTCTTTGTCTTTCGGCTCAAATTCACGTTTGCCCCATTCTCGTACAGGAATTTTAAGGCTTTATCCCTCCCATTCACAGCGGCTTCCATGAAAGCTGTGAAGCCATTAGCATCACACTCATTGACATCCGCACCTTTAGAAAGGAAAAGTTTGAGCAGCTTCACATTTCCCACAATCCCAGCAATGATGAAGGGAGTGGCCTCATTCTTCTTCTTCACACAAGGGTCAGCACCATAACGAAGCAGAAGATCCACCATGTCCTCCAGGCAACTTTGTACCGCGTTATGCAAAGGTGACCAGCCCCACTCGTCCTGGAAGTTGACATCAGCCCCTCTTTCCAGCAATTGTTGGACCAGCTCGATGTCTTCGTCTTTAACGGCTCCAATTAACTTATTGCCATCCACTGATGTCCTCTCATTGCTGGAGGGTGTGAGTCTCTCCTGAAGGTCGTTATGGCTCTTGGTCTCCATGATGGTAATTACCACTGGCTACAACTCTGTGCCTTTGAGAAAATGAAAACTTATCTCCTTGGGACTTGATCAAAGAGACATGGAGCTCTTTGCACTATCAGGTTAAACAGGGATTATCTGGCTGTGGACCAGCAATATGAGGAAGGAAATACTCTTGGAGTCTTCTAACGTTCCACCTGGAGATGAGCTATTTTGTAATTTTATAATAGTGAGAAAGCATTTGAATTAGAAAAATTAATTTTACTAGCAACTTTTTCAAAATACATCTACTTATTTATATATAACTTTTTATTATAGAACATTATGAACATATATAAATTAAAAACAAGAAAATTTTTACACTGCAGTCCCACCACCCAGAAATAGGCATTGTTAAGATTTTAGGGGACTCCTGGGTGGCTCAGTTGGTTAAGTGTCTGCCTTAGGCTCAGGTCATGATCCCAGGGTCCTGGGATCAAGTCCCACGTCAGGCTCCTTGCTCGGTGGGGAGCCTGCTTCTCCCTCTGCCTGTGGTTCCCCCTGCTTGTGCTTGCTCTCTCTCTCTCTGACAAATAAATAAATAAAATCTTTTAAAAAAAGATTTTAGTATTTTTTTTTAAGATTTTTATTTATTTATTTAGAGAGGGAGACAGTGCAAGCAGGGAGAGGGGCAGAGGGAGAGGGAGAGGGAATCTCAAGCAGACTCTGCACTATGCCGGGAGCCCACCCCAGGGCTCAATCTCACAACTCTGAGATCATGACCTGAACTGATATCAAGAGTCGGATGCCCAACCAACTGAACCACCCAGGTGCCCCTATTTTAGTGTATTTCTATAAATTTTTAAAAAAATAGTTGAGATCATGCTATGTGAGGATCCCGTATAAATATCCTGCTTTCTTTCATCTAATGCCATTGTATAAATAATTTCCTATGTTATCACAAAGTCTTTTAAAACATTTTTAATGGCTCCGCAATACGCCACCAGTCAGTTGCTTCATTTCCCTATTACTAAACAGCTTTTAAAAACAACTTTTAAGCAAGATTTTTAAAATTGGAATTTTCTAACCATTCTAAATAATGTTGCAGTAAATTTAGCTTTTTAAAGCTTGTTTTCTTATGATAAATCTTATAAGAGATTTCTTATGATAGATTTCCAAGAATTGAATGACTGGTCGAAGTGTAACAGCATTGCCAACAGGTCTTAAGTGTTAATTGGCTTCAAGCTTATCCACTCTTTGCTTGCTGACCTAAGTCCCTTGATCTGTAGCAGAACTAACTTACTTTCCTTGAGATTTTCAGACCACTGGCCTTGAGGAGTGAAGGACCAGACTTTCCCAGAAGATAAGGCCTAACTCCATTCAGGAACAGCTGCTAGAGATGCTAGCCTACCTGTTTAGGGTCATACTGACATACGACTGACTGCCTGCACCTGCCACTCCTGCACGCAGCTCCCACCCCCACCCTCTTTCCCATGCCTTTCCCCCTAAAGCCCTCCAGCTTCCCCTAGGATGAGGAAGACGGTCTTTGAGACATTAGTCTGCCATCTTCCCAGGTTGCCAGCTTCCTGAATAAAGCAGCCTTTCCTTTCCCACCATTACCTGCCTCTCTAGTACTGATTTGTGAGCAGCCAGCAGGCAAACCTGAGTTTGGAACCGGTTCTCTGTCCGGTAACAAAAGGATTATGCTTGTTTTAAAAATTCTCAACCTATGTTAATAAATTTTTTCCAGTGTCATATTAACAACCTCTCACTAGAAATAGATGGTCTCTTAAGAGGAAAAAAAACCCCTCATTTATAGGGAAAAAAATGTGTTTTGTGTCAATTTGCATTTCTTTTTTTTTTTGTTTAAAGATTTTATTTATTTATTTGAGACAGAGAGAATGAGAGACAGAGAGCATGAGAGGGAGGAGGGTCAGAGGGAGAAGCAGACTCCCCGCCCAGCAGGGAGCCCGATGCGGGACTCGATCCCGGGACTCCAGGATCATGACCTGAGCCGAAGGCAGTTGCTTAACCAACTGAGCCACCCAGGCACCCTCAATTTGCATTTCTTACACCTCTCAATGCATTTACTGGCTCTGGGCATGTCTTTATGCATGTGTGCTTCTATTCAAAGTAGTAGAGAGAAGTGGAAAGAGCTCAGACTCCAACCTCACAAGATTTAAGTTTGAACCCTCGATCATTTAACTTCAGACTGTTACTGCCTAGTTGTGTAACATTAGGTTATTCTCAATTTTCCGTCCCCTCATGCATATAAAGTATGGCAAATATTAGTCATTCAATAACCGATAGACTTAATAAAGTCCCTTCACGAAAACAAATTTCAGCGATTACTACTCTCGCCATCCAAGTGCATTCACACGCTACACAAATGGGGGAGCTGGTGGTGTTGAGTTAGTCCAACTGCCCTTCGTCAGAGGAGGGCAACAGAGCCGCAGTTCAGCCACCAGACAGCACCGAACTGGTCCTTGAAGATTTGTAAAACTGCACCTGCTACAGGTGCAAAATTGTGCAATCAGCAAAATTGTGATTAAATCCAGATATTCCTGCTTTCCTTTGACTCTAGTAAACATTCATCTTAGCTATTCTGTGACTTGTTAAGAATAAAATAAAAAGATGAGGAAGTAGAGGTGTGGCTAAAATAGGAAATTAAAATTTGCAAACAAAACAAACAAAAATGCTCAGGACCCAGGTGATCATAAAGCAGAATTCCAAAGGAATAAACAAAGGAGGTGTGAGACAGGCTGGTCTAAAGAAAGGAGCAGAGAAGGGAAGTCGAAGAAACCCCCAAGTAAAATAGCTGTCAGGTACAAGCCTGCTTTCGGTTTCGTTTTCTCGCTCTCACCATTGGTGCTGGACAGAGAGAGACGGCTTGATTAGGTACGGCGTGGACTGGACTGACTGCGGGCGAACCCTGCAATTCCGGGGTGGGGGGGCGGTGGGGGGGGTCAGGACCAGAGAGCCCGGCGGGCTCCGCGCTGTGCATCACCCCTTTCCATCTCCAGAGCCCGGAGCCCAAGGAATCCCTCAAAGGTAACAATTTCTCAAGCTACCCCAGCTCTCCAGCCCCTCTTACCTTCTAAACTCAGACGCCCCTCGGCTCTTCCTTGGAGAGCGTTCAATCGTCAGATCGCGGGGCCAGCAGCAAAGCACTTCCTCTCTGCGATCACTGAGTCCGCGGGGCGGGGCAGAGAGAGAGAGGGAGTGAGGACAGAGTCCGGAAAGTAGAGCCACCCGCCCCGGAGCCCACAGCGCATTTAACCCTTGGCAGGACCGCGAGGCCTCCGCTCTGACCGCAGAGGGCCCATCTGACGGCCACACCGAGCCGAGCCCGCTTCGTCTTTACCACGTTATTCCAAATCCCCTATTGAGGGAAATGAGTGGTAAAGAAACATTTATTGAGCACCGACTGGGTGCGGGGGCCCCCTGACCATTGCTTCACAAGTGACATGACCCCGGTTAACCCCTGACAACCCTGATGATGAATCTGAGGCTCAGAGAAACTACATAAACCCAGAGCCCAAGCTCCCTCACTCATCTGGGCACACTCAACTCACTCATTGCCTGGAGGCCCTGAGCACCCCCCCCCCCTTCCCCCGAAGGGCACCAGTCTGGCAGTCTAAAGACTTGGTCCTGCAGCCAGTGCTGGGGCCCTTTAGGGGAGTGAACTCAGGTGGGTGGATGGTTTACCCATGTGAAGTCTCAGTTCTCTCGTGTAACATGGTTTTTAAGATTCCTTTCTGCTCTAGAAGTTCTGTTCTTGCCACTTTCCTAGCACTGAGATGCATACTGTGTACTGAACGCTGCAGTGGGAAATATTCCTGTCCTCAAGGAATAGCCAGTCTTGCTGGGGAGACCAACTCCTGCCTATCTTGAACCAGGAGAATCAAGAAGGGGTGGCCCAAGAGACATGTAAAGTATGACAACTGTTCTGGTAGGAGGAGACTTCAGTCTGCCCACAGAGACCCCAGGCACGAGGCTGAGTCCAGAGCTCCAGCCTCTGAAGAAGGAGCCACCACCAAGAGCACAGGCAAGCAGGCTCAGGAGTGGGTGGGAAACCAAGGGGGAGGACATGCAGAGAGACGCCTAGGCCAAGGCCAAGGCTAAAGATAAGGATGTCTCCCTCCATCCCTTTGGCTTCCCGTTTCCACACACAGCATGTTAGATATTGGGACACGGTATCTCACCCTTCCCTTCTTTGGACCTTCTTTGCATTTGACTTATCAGAAGCTCCTCTTCTTCAATCTTGGCAAGAAGACAATGGGGTCAAATTGAATCAGATATATTACTAATGTTCTCACAGCTTCATCACAATTTTGCTGATTAAATCCAGATATTCCTGCTTTCCTTTGACTCTAGTAAACATTCATCTTAGCTATTCTGTGACTTGTTAAGAATAAAATAAAAAGATGAGGAAGTAGAGGTGTGGCTAAAATAGGAAATTAAAATTTGCAAACAAAACAAACAAACAAAAATGCTCAGGACCCAAGTGATCATAAAGCAGAATTCCAAAGGAATAAACAAAGGAGTAGCAAGAAATGTGGGCAAGGCCAAACAGCTGGTATGGCTAGAAACTCCCTAGCACTTGCGAGTGAATGAAGGCTCTTGCCAGGGCATTCCATGCCCATGGGCAGGAGCAGGAAATGGCAAGACTCTTGCTAGCAGATGTCAAGGCATTAAGTCTCCAGAATGCTTCAGAGCAAGGACTCTAGTATCAGATTACCTCGCTTCAAATCTAGACTCTCCCACTGTGTGTGATAGAATAATTACAAAAAGTAGCCACATTTTTTTTCAACCCTCCCTCTACCCGTGCCCTTTACAATTTAACTTCATATCTTTTCCTCATTAAGTACTTTCATTACTCCCCTCTTTGACTCTGGGCTGGGCACCCTGCCACCATATGAAGATGCCTGGACTAGCCTGATGGGTGATAAGAGAGACACAAGGCCCAGACACCACCATTGCCCAAGCCAACAACCAGCCAATCCTTAGATATATGACTCGGGCCAACCTGGACCAGCCAGCTCTCACCAGCCCACCAGTGGATCACAGACACAAGAACAAGCCAGTTGAGATTGGCTGAGCCAGGCCCAGAGAAGCAGAAGTGCCTAGCTGACCCACAGACTCATGAGCAATAATAAATGCTTATTATTTCAAGCCAGAGTTTTGGAATGGTTTGTGATGCAGCAATAGCTCACTAATAGAGCCCCCGGCTAACTCTCTGAATTTGGGCAATTTCCTTAAACCTTCCAGCCTTTGGTTGCGACGTCTACAATATGGTGATATCAAATAATAACATAAGTTACCTCACAGGAATATGGTGAGGATTACAGAAATGGATATATGTGAAGCACTTGGAATAGTGCCTATCGCACATATGTAGCTATAATTTGTGGATTATAATCTGTGGAGCACTGTGCTGAATATTTTCCATAAATTTTCTCATTCTGTCATCACAAAAGTCCTTTGAAGCCAGTCCTATTTCTTATTCACAGGTTACGGGAAAAAGTGAGCCTGTGAGAAATCCAGTAATGTGCTGAAGATCGCTCGGCTGATCAGTAGCGGATGTGGGACTGAATTCAGAGCCTGCTATCTAAAGCTTGATTGTGAAACCGCCCCTTGGTACCGGCAGGATGGAGTAAGTTAAGACAATGATACTCTCCAGCACAGAACTCTCTCTTAAGTGGAGGCCCAAATTATAATCCAAATAAAGGATTAATCCACGCATTATCACTTTTCTCAAAGTTTAAATCAAATCCTTGTCTAGGTTGGTGACCAAAGCTTGGGAATCACCAACACCGTAAGTCAAGAGGTATCTTTTCTAAATGATGGAGATTCAAACTGTTAGCTCCATCTAGCAGCTAACGGCATTACATCCCTCACCCTTGGGATCTCTCCTCCGTTATTTAAATTTCAAATCTTTCTTTTCTTCCCTAAAGCAATTTGAAGAGCTGGACCAATTTAAAAGTTTCAGTGAAAGGGAATTATCTTGAGATCAGCCCTTAATATGCCCTGAACACCTTTCTCTCTTTACCTAAGAGCTTCAGTTTCTAAAGTTAATTTAGCCCTATTGACTAAAGAAAATCTTGTTTTAAACCCTATACCCACTGGTTGTCTTAACAGTTATGCTAATTATTCGCATTTATATTAAACGTTCACATATTTAATAAAATGCATTAGTAAACAAAACTATAAATTATATCTCTTGGATATCATTCCAAAGGAAGGAGCCAAACAAAATAGGACCAAAGTCAAGCAATACCAGGGAAAAAGTTTGCCTTTCCTGGTATGGACACAGGGGGGTGAAGGATGGGCCAGAGTTGCCGGGGGTCGGCGGGGGGGAGTGGCTTCGAGTCATGTGGGAGCAACAGCAGCGATTTGGAAGGAGCGCTAGCTGACCCGGGTTTGAGGGAGTTGATGAATGGCTCAAGCCTTGATTTCCTCACTTGAAATTCTGTAATGCTCTGCACATCAGATGATATATAATAGCGAAACAGCTGTACTGTTCTTGAAAGAAACGTAGACTTGGACTCTGGTTCTTCCATTCTATTCAAGAAGTCAATGCAAGATTACTGACTGCTGCCTACTGTGTACAAGGCACTGTGCTAAGTACTAGGAATCTGATAATAATAATAATAATAGTAACTAATATTCATGGGACAATAACACTGTGCCAAACACTTACTTCATTCAATGTCTCCTCTGAGGGTTCACTCTTCTATCTTCATTTTACTGATGAGCGAACAACCCTAATAACTTCCTAAGTCATACAGAGAATGAGCCAGGATTCCAACCCAAATATTTTGATTCCACGGCCAGGGCTGTGAACAGCTTTGCTGCAGTCTGTTCGGTGCCATCTTATCAAGGTAGATAATATGACTTCTGGCCACAAAGAGACCAGTGTAGGGGGAGGAAAACAAGAAGTGTGGACGGCAAAGTCAAAAGAGTGTGTCCTAGAATCATGGACATGGGTGAGATTAACTCTGTGCAGTAGACATCTGGGAAGGCTTCACGGAGGAGGTGATGCTTTTGCTGGATTTAGAGGAGGGCATTCCCCTCCTCACCACCCCCCAGTTAAAAAATAAGAGGAAGAGGAAGAGGCCATTCCAAGCAGAGAGAACAGCGTGTGCCTAGAGGCCATCTGGGCAGGAGACAGCTCAGGAGAGGGACTTGGGTCAGCTCAGAGTGAGCCTCAGTTGCCGTGGTCAGATCTGGACTTTCTCTTGGGAGGCAAAGGGGAGCCATCAAAGGGGTTTGAGTGCAGCCACAACCTGCTCAGATCTGTGCTTTAGGGATGAAGACTAGCAGCGTGGGCAACGAGTGGGAGAGGCCGGGAGAGGGAGACCAGGTGGAAAGCTGTCTTTATAGCTCGGGCCAGAGAGGGCGAAAGGCTCCTCTAAGGAAGTCTCGGTGAGCCTGGGGAGGAGAAGCTGGACTCAACCCCTTTCCAAGACTGGATGAGATGACATGTAGAAGAGATGGAGAAGCCTGAACTTGGGTGGCCAGTGCCTCTGTGTATCAAGGTCAGAGAAACGGAAGGCGGTGCATATCTGTTGGGGACGATGATGACCCTGGTTTCAAATGTGTTGTGTGAAGACCCTGCAGGACATAGTTGTAATCTGAACTTTCCTCCGGCTGGATTTGAAACTAATCATTAACTCAAGAGCCATTTGCTGAAAGCTTAGCTGCAAGGGCCTGGGGAGAAAAAGACCTGCCTAGTCCCAGGAGCTTGCCATCAGGGGCAGAGAGGTAGAAAGCAGGGATCCAAGTGCTCCAGTTCAGGTGGGCATCAGCAGCAGTGGTACATGAAGGAGAGGCATCCATAATCAGACCCAAAGGCTCAGGCAAGTCTCCCCAGAAAGATCCTTGAGTTGGCCCTTGGAAGATGCCTCCCTAGCTGATTAAGGAGGTGGAGGGCAGCAATGAGAGCAGGGGACACAGCAGGGAGGTGGTCCAGGAAGGTTGGAAAGTTGAGACAGTAACAGCGAATCTGGGACCCGGGACAGATCCGTTTTCAAGGGACAGGGGAGAGAGTAGCGAGAGAGGCCTGGGAGGCCAGCCACAGGCTATTTAGGAAATGCTTTCCCTGCTGAGCCAAAGCCTAGAGTGCTCGGGGAGGAGGCAGAGCTGGGGAGTCCAAAGATATCAGAGCCACTTGCTAGCAGCGTGATCTTCAGGAAATCCCTTAAACTCTCAGTGAAGCATTAGAGCATGGGACTGTTTTGAGCCTGACA